ATTATTAAAACAAGGAAATTTTACAATAGAGAAATCTTTTGTAATGAGAAAAAATAGTATTTTCTAAATCTTTATATTTAAATTATCTCTACATTAAAACTAGGCTTTTTGAAAACATGCAGATTCCAAACAGCTCCTTTTAGGCTTCTTAGAAGTCGCATCGAATCATAGAGCTGCACGATTTCTGGTCATAATCGTAAAGTTATTGAATTAAGATACACAACGACATTTTTTTATCCCGAAATACCAGTGCATAGACTGCTGGAGATACGTCGCGTATCCAGATTTACGCAAGAGGCCTCCGTAAAGCTGTTTGTAAAATTTACATCGGGCGCACAAAGAAAGTGTCGGGCATTTGTCGGGCGGGCTAATTGAATTAAGCCCGCCATGGCGCGCAGGTGTTCAATTATTTCCTTTACCGCTTTACGAGCTCCGCCTTTGCCGTGATACTCCCCGCGAGATTTTTCTTGACGCTAGAACGGCATGTAACCTGCGTGCGGCATGCTCGCTCTCGGCAGGTGATCCGATGGATACCACGAGAAGACGATAGAACGGCTATTCGATGTGCGAGATAACCGACTGAATTATTTTTCAACCAAACATGAAAACCGGCTGCCGCGATTCACCTGTGGCGTTCTTCGTCATATATGACGAACGAATACTGGTCTTCTTGGTACTTATTACTCCAAACTGGTCCCTGAGCTTCTCTCTCATGTCATGATTTAATGTATTAATCAACGTTACTTGCTCATAATTTAATAAATTTAACATACTTGTGTAGGGTATCTTCTGTCTTCGTTTATGATATATTATTGTCTCATAATATATTAAAATACTTCTTAACGAATATAAGAAGTATGTAAGTTATCTATAAAGGATATCTAAATATTGATAGTTCGCTTATCATATTGAATTGTGAGTTATCACTGATTTTTAAATTTATCTCTGCGAGACCCCAGTTGATTGAATGAACAGCGGATTATTTTCAATGGATTAATTCTGTGACATTAAATGAAAGAATCCACAAGTTTTATAAAATTATTTCTTATATAGTTCCAGAATTTGGATGTATAAGTAGAATTTTAGAGTTTCTGATGCGTTTTACAAAATTCTGACAATTAAGTAATGAAAGGCTGCCAATTTCACAGAGTCCAGATGGTCATCTAAGGTAAAGGATCGTGTTAAATACGCTCGATCGAGCAATCTCAATACGATCCCGGCGTATTCCTTCATGTATACTCTGTCCTCAAATTTTTCTTAAAATTCGCAGATGATCGGCTTCCCGGTTGGCGAACTTTTTCTACGCGAACGGTTCGGCATGTTTTTTTTTCTCTGTAATTAGTTGAGCCCAACGGTAAGCCCTAATGCGACGTGACATTGAAAATCCTTCTCGATTTACCTCGGCCATTGCGACGTATCAAATCGCGAAATCTCCCCAGCCGTGAGTTATACATTTTTACGGTCCCGAGGACCGAAGTGCTTCGATGCCACGGCCGCGTATATTCACGCTCACGCGTGTCTATTTGTTGCATTCGCGTTCTCCGCTTTTTTTTTTATGCGCGCACTTTTGTTACGGGATGCCGCCCACTCCACACGAGCGGATGCCTCTTTTTTTACGAGATCGTCAACGTTGAAAGTGTCCGACAGTTTTGGCCTCGTCGCGCAATAACGCGGCGTGATACTCGACTTTTCGTGTTCCAGTTTTTATTCAAACGTAAATATCCGTGATGCACGGTCGTTAGAAGCTGGCTAAAAGCTTAATGCCTTGGTTTAATTTAATCTAGAAATTGGGAAGAATAAAGGAAAAAAAGTGTTTATTAAATTAATCCTGTGTACTTTTCGATTTAATTGCTACTTTTTTCGTCTATTTTATACTTTATTGTGAATTATGTAGAGACTTAATTATTTCATTAGATGTCTCATGAAATAAGGCAAACAATACATTACACGAATGTATTTGAGTGAATCTTGTGTCCTATCAACAGTATAATTTAACGCAACTGATTATAATAATTAATGAAATATGTTTATCTGATATGATACTCAATTTTCGCCTCTGTATGTCTTCTGTAACGCGATCGGTACTTTGTGGATTTTCAAAGGGACAAAACATAACCGACACGTCGTGGTTGCGTGTCGTCCATCGAAAATTGCTTGCTGTATAGTGGTTTTCGAGGTCGTGTCGCACGAATCGTGAGGTGTAATATCGAATTAATGCCGCCTGAAAACCGTATGGATATATTATCGCATCAGACATCACGTTGCGCATTGCGTAACAAATTCCGTATCAGCGGAACGTGCTGCTGTTCTCTTTCTCGTCTCTTATCGGACCACCTCTTGTTCTTCCGCGTGAATATCGCATTAATCTAACGTTTCCGACTATCCTCTTAACCGAACGTGTGTGGAAAATCAAACATGTAAAAAAGAGAGAAGAGAGAGATCACTTCTTGATAAAAATTTTCAACAAGAAACTTATGTATCTTTCTGGACATGTTACAATAATATTATGTTGTATTGTACCGTACTACATTTTTATATTGTATCAAATAATATTATTTGTCAAAGAAACATATGTTTCTTATTGTTCTCAGTTGCTTTGACTTTTAATTGAGGCCGAACGTGTGTGAGGAAAATTAAACATACAAAAAAAAAAAGATTATTTCTTGATAAAAATTTTTAGCAGGAAGCTTATACGTACATGTCTTTCTAAACTTAATATTATGTTGTATTATATTTTTTATTTTTATGTCGCCAAAACCAATAAATAGCGTTTATTGTTTCAAATTGATTACTTTAAGTTTGAGTGTAAATTCGTAAATTTACACTCAGTGACGAGTGATATCGTGATACGTGTATGTATCCGACATAGCAATCCGCCACTGGCGGCAGGTCGCACGCAATCTCGCGATCGTTCCTCGGCGTCTACGTACGTACGGTCCAGACCGAGGGCGACACCCGCAACCAGCATTCCAGGCTAATTCTTCATCGAACAATTACCGAACGGATGACGGCGGCAGAGGCAACGCGGAAGACGAACTAGTCGTGACATGGAGGCCCGGTGCTCAGCACTACGTCATAACGGTCGAGCGGGCTTGCGCCGGCTCTGAGGATGACACGATGGACCATGGTTTAGCTTGTCCTTTGATGCATGATATTGCGGAGTCGGTGCTGCACGCTTCGGCAAACATGTCACGAGCAAGCCGAAACTGTTAGGATTCATAGTTATCTCGGGCGATCGTGTGCCGTCCGAGGACACTCGCCCTATCGTTCACGCGAGACTACATTCTCTATAATGTAATACGTATACACCTGTAATGCGTGTACGTTTCCGTATGTGAATCTCGCGATATCGCTATCCTGCGAATTTCGGACTGTAATGTCGTTTCTAGGATAACAATTCCCATAACTGAAGATAACTATGGAGATAATTGCAGGATGTGAGGAAAGAAGGAAGGGGTTTGTGTAGTGAAATAATATTTTTGTCTCCTTAATTCAATCTGATTATATAATCTTCTGTTATACATATATCACGAATTCTTTTCAAACGTTAAGATTCGATGAAAAGGTTTTTTTTTTTATTATTTTAGGACACTGAGAAAAAAATTGTTTATTTCATTACGTTAAATTTGGTCTTTATTTCTTTCGATAAAGAATGTATGTATTTAAGTCAAACATACTATATTACGAAATAAAGCCGACCTAAATTAACTTGGTTAAATGAACAATTTTTTCTCAATGGAGGGGGAATCGAATTTTATTTATCCTCCTTTCTTTCGGAGAAATTTGAGAGTAAAATTAAGAGAATGGATAGAATAAAGACATAATTTTACTTTTTCCAGAGATTAACTTTTTCGTACAATATTGATCATAATAGTAAAGTATTGTAACATGTAACTTCTTAAAGACATTACATAGATTCATTTGATACCGTATGTAATAAAAGAGTAAGCAAGTTATTTTAATTTTTATTAAAATCAAGATTTTGCAATTAGGCCTTTATTCCGCCCATCCCCTCAATTATATTTCTTGTAACACAAGAAAAAGAGAACAGATTGCAGACGAAGATTAATATGATAATGAAGGACAATAGGACAGAGAAACTACGGACAGTATAAGAGAGTACTTGCTAGTGCGTATCTCGTCGAATAAAAATTAATCTCGATGCGGCAACGCGTCGCTCTACAATTCCTTCCGGGCGTTTTTCGAAACGTAAATCCAGCCGATTCTCATAAATTCTCCGCAAGACACGGTGCGCCTCGCGCATAGGTTCGCACTCCTACGTATACGTGTTACGGGGGTGGGCATTAATAACGGATGAAGCCCCGGACTGCGGCAACCTCGTAATGTTTATCTCGTTGTTTATTCCGCGTGCGTATCAGCCGCAACGTGGAAAACACGCGTATACATATCTCCCGCGCGCGGATTCTTAGCGCGATCGCGATTTTGATTTATAAAGACGCATCGCGAATTTATGCCCGGCATTAATTTTGCATCGACTATGCTCTCGAGAGGGGAACTTTCTTTTCGCTTCCCCTTTTCACCCAACGACTCACGCGCCAAGAATATTGCGGGCTGTGGGGGGATGCGGATATATTCTTTTTTTTTTTTTCTTTTTTCTAATCCCCTACCCGATACTGCGGATATTTTGTCAGGTATCCTCTTCCTTTGTCTTCCTTTTAGTATCGCGCTGCGTCTGTTCTTTTATTTGCCCAAGGATTACGCGGGAGCAGGATGTGTAAGGTTGAATTTATGTAAGGGCTTCGTACATATGTATGCCATTATGATACACATTTCGTACATTTGACATAATTTAAAGTTTGACATTGTTTCAATTAATATGTATGTACAGTTAATACGAATCGCAGCTTTATATTGCGCACAATGATACGTGAACTCAAATAAATTTGTTTTTTTATAAATTCATTCAGTCTTTTGACAAAGAGCAGGAAAATATTGTTGGAGAAATTGATTTTCATAGATTTTTGTTTTATCTGTTACAGAAAAGCCCTTTCAGACGTCGTATGGTCCCACGATAGACAACGGAATGGTGAGTGATCTTTTGATATTGACCTTCACGCCGACAATACGAATCGCAGCGATTTCTTTGCGCGCGTATCGCCCTTTGTTCCTTTCTGCCCTATTCGAGTCGAGCGACGGCGCGAGAGAAGTTGGAATATTCAAGATCTCTCCCTTTGTTGCAACGACTTGAACCTCTAAACGAGGCGGGATTATGTAAGAAATAGGACCGTAATAATTATTGCAGTCGTAGAAGCGAATTTATCTGAGAAAAAGTTACTCGCTCCGCACCGTCCCGACTCCGCACTCTCCCTCCGACATCCCCAACGTAATCCCAAAACTTTACCTTGGATGATATTTTCGGAAAGCGGTTCTCATTTCTTGTCACGAAAGATATCCTTCCTGGTAAGCGCCTGGTAATTATTTATCTGCACGAGCATAATAGAGCATGAAAATTGACATGTGTATTTGACTGCCTCGTTAATCTTAATGACATAAATTTATCTTTGTGACTTTGTTGTTGTGAATTAATTCTCATTCATTTATCATACTGATATCAATCATCTTAATTAATTAATAATTAACGTTAATAGTATATTATATGCGTAATGCAGTAATCGAATCGAAACGAAAATATCTTCTGGTTCCACCGAGGAACGCTGAGCGCCGTCAAACCTCCGACTTTAATATCACTTACACTCTCTCTCTCTCTCTCTCTCTCTCTCTCTCTCTCTCTCTCATTCGTGGCAATTTATTCGGTGCATCAAGTTACTTGTACGTATTCCGCAAGGAAACTGGGATATTTCTTTTTCATATCGTTGAAATTAAAAAGATTGTTGCAGCACTTATTTTTGAGTTATTCCCACGTTTTTCGAAATTTTTATTGTACGAAACAAAAATTTCTTGTCACTTATCGACGATTCTTGTTAGATAATTGCGTTATACATATGCGGAACGTGAGACCTTGTACGTATCTATTCAACGTGAGATAATGATCCTACTATATTTGAGTTTCATACGTCTTCCGTTCATCGCAATTCTTGAGGATATAATTCAACCATTGTTTCTGCAAACGCTAGATGACAGCAGAAACGAAGCGAATACGATACACTTGAACTTTTCGAAAGCGCTAGAGAGAGAAAGAGCAGTATCTAATCGACAGTCGTTAAACCATAGCTGATAAGGAATATTGATTTCGATGGATGATTTATTAAAGCCGCCCCCGAGTTATCGTTGTCGCATTTCCTCCATTTCGCATACTCCCCCATCCTCATCCTTCCTCTCTTCTTTCATGACTTGTGACAGTTATCCGTAATCAATGCAAAATAGCAGGTACTCTTTTAATTAAAGTTATAATTTACGAAAACTGTATTAATTTTATAAATTAAATAAAAATAAAACGCAGCGCTTTTATAAATGAAAAGTGTATAATTATGCAATATTTTTGATAAATTAAAAGATATAATTATTTAATAATTTTAATGTAAAAATATTTTTTGTAGCTGGAATATTTTTGATACGAAGTCAGTGTCCCGTACTGTTATTATTATATCGATAATTTGTCGCTGCAATATTGCGATTATAATTGTCGCGACCAGAAGTGAAAATGAAAAAATTGAGAAAAAAAAGGATGTATTTCGGTTTCTGTTTCAGGCGTATAGCAGTGGTGCATTCGGTCCTGTAGGTACCGTCAGTACACCCACCCCCGTCGTGAATCCGACTACCCCCGCTGGTACCAACGGCACACGGTTACCTAATCCCACTGGCGGTAAGTCTTTGTTATTACATTGTCTTTATCAAGGATCAAGATAACGAAATAAAAGCGAATGTGGAACTTGAGAGTGAGAGAAAGATAGTGAAAAAGGATTTTATTTCCATCAATTTTATATAATATATTTTTACGTTACATTTTATTATCGCCATTATCGAAAACATTTTTTTGTCGGCTGTTTCGCACTCTGTATTGTTTTTAAAAATAGTTTTGTAATATGATTTCAGGTGCCGCAACCGTGAAAAGGAAGAAGGATGTAAGTATCCGATGTCGTTTTTTATATTTTATTATCTTTAAAAATTATTACCACTGGAAATGTTGATCGCGCAATTTGATTTTATTGCTCATAATTTATTAAGATAAATCTGTTACGGTTCGGTTTTGTTTTCGCGTACCGTATATATGGGAGCCACCGACGAGACGTCGAAAACAAGCATGACTCACTCGATCAATGATTAGGCAGCTCTCGAATCCCACGATCGATAGCGTTTAGATATTACATTTGAACACCAGCGTATCATACCGCGATCACGTGAACATATCTTTTGTATGTTTCCACAACATATTTAATAATGTTTCGAATTTATTTTCTTCACAGAACCTCGACGGAACGGAAGGAGAAGTAGTGGCGACGCAGCATTGGGTGAGTGTTAAAAAAAAAAAGATGTATCACGACTTATAGTATAAATTAGATTAACTCGTAAATTAAGTTTTTGCTCGTGTTTCTTCGTCGTGAAGTGAGCGAGAAATATTCGGATGAACTCAGGCAATGCATGTGATCATGATCTTTATGAGCGGCGTTATGAGGATGATGATTTTACCATCCCGTGGTAGCTGGCACGAAACGTCGACGTTTCGTGACATTTTCCCAAGAGTTTCGAGTCCGTCCATTTGAAATGTTACATTCCTGCGAACACGTAGGAACTAAAATTATTTACCGTTTAAAATAAAATTGTTACGCTTTTTTATCAGACGATAATAAAAGTTAACAAAGTGAAGGTACACACATTTCCCAATTTTTTATTATATGATATTTCAATAATATATATATTCTGGAGATTTTAGTTATGAGAATCAAAAATCTTCATATGAAAATATCCAGATTAATTTTATAATTATAAACGATTAAAATTAATCAATGGTTACATCGAATTTACATATTAATGATAATAAATTTTATACGATTTATTACTTAATAATTTTCACTTTGAGTGATTGATTTTTATTACTCAGCAATTTTGTCTTTTGCTTTTTTATGTGTAAATACATGCATATTGTAATAATTAGTTTATTAGTAATTTAATTATTTCTTTTTTTAAGTAAAAATTTAAATGATTCGTTAATTACTCACTGAAAAATAATGATCAAATTATTAGTTCATTTTCAATTAAAAGAATATAATATACCTTTGTCCTGTGACTGAAAAATAGAAATATGTAATTTTATTTCTCTCTCTCTCTCTCTCTCTCTCTCTCTCTCTCTCTCTCTCGAATCAGAATTATATAATTTTCTAAATAAATCAAGAAAAAAAAATCATATAATTTTGCAGCGTTTTAATTCCTTTTTTAATTTGTTAAAGCTTTAATTCTCAATGTGTTAAAAATCATACAATTTTATTTCAGAAATATTTAGAAAGAATAATAAATTAATTAAAATGAATACCTTTTTGATTGAGACAAAGGTCAATTTCAATCTTTGAATAAACATTAGACTCAGCGTGCAGTAATTAATTTGAAATGTAAAGACTAAAATAATATGTTTTTATTTTATAATATATATGTTATATTTTATAAAATGGCTGAATCAGTTGGCACATAACATTTTGCGACGTACAATTTACTATGTTATGACGCGGTCATCTTGTTTACATTCGCGCAGTGAGACTTGAGTCGGCAAGCAGCGATGTGAGCCGCTTCACATATACACATGCGTCGTATTATTATTATTTCTTGAAACGCGATCACGATAAATTATCAAAAGACGCCAAATGTAATCATTTTCTACCAATACTTATCGCTTCTCATTTCAACACTTACCAATTTTAATAGACTGAAATGTACAAGACATCACGGAATTCGGAAAAAAAGTGTGCTGGTTATTTATCGCAATTTCATTGACGTTTCTCATTAGTTCTAACAGAATTTCATATTCTACTATCATTTTTAAACAGAGTTCCAGCTGTTACTTTTTCAGTTTTGGTTTTTTAATATAACAAATGCGAAACTTTTTTTATTTTTATAAGGAACTGTAGGACTATGGAGAGAGAGAGAGAGAGAGAGAGAGAGAGAGAGAGAGTGCTATAAGAACTGTCATTATTTTTTTTATATTAATAGAACGATGTTAACTTCAAAATCCAAATTTATGTGAACCTATGAAGTTAAAACATCGTTTTTTTTTAAATATAAAGAAAATAATGACAATTCCAGTAGTACTTTTCATAGTTCTACAGTTCCTTATTAAAATAAAAAAAAATATTCTGCATTTTTAATACCATAAAGTCAAAAATAAAGAAATGAAAAGAACTAATCATTGTTTTTTGAAAATTAGTAAGACGCCGCGCTAACTTCACAAACACGGAGGCCCGGACAGACACCGGGTGACGAAGCATCCATGTGAGGTGAATATTTTTAATAACATTATTTATTACTTGTTATTCATTGATTTTCGTATTTATTTTAAAAAGATGGATGGATTAAAATAAATTAGGAATTTATTTAATCCTGGATATGAAACAATTTATTATTCATATATGCACACGTATACACATACAAAGCTCAGACATTAGAGCTTATTATTTTGACGCATATGTATCACTTATTTCATTTTGATATCTCATCAGATAGATTACTAACAAGATACAGTAATTTTTATAAGACAATCTCACGAACATTAAAAATGTACACAATATTTCATGAGTAAATTCGGTATAAGCGATAATAATGATAAAAAAATTTTTTGTAAAAGAGAAAATGTTCCCATTTTTGATAAAAATATTTATAGTCATAAGTCATACGCTGCTTGCTGAGTATATATATACAGTACTATATATATATACATAAAAATTTTTACCAAAATTAAAATATTATGAAGGTAACATTAAAATAATAAGAATAATAACTTTATTGAAGTGCAAAATAACAAGAGAAATATAAGAGAATGTACATGTACATTATAAAATAGTTACAATAAAATATATTCGTTATTTATATAATTTTAATATCTTTGTAATTGTAAAAAATCTTTGGTTTTATTTTTTTGTTTGATGAAAAAATTTGATAGAAATACATATATATAGAAATATAATTAAATTATAAAGAATAAATTATTCTAAAATTAGAATATAAAGTTTTTAATTTAAATATATTTATAGTGTTATATTTTATAACGGCCAGAGAGAGGATAAAAAAATGATTTTTATATGTATTTGTGTAAAATAAAAAGTAAATTGATATCAATTACGGGGAAAATATTTGTTAATATTTGAACGTTACTTTATTTTCTTCTTTTTTCTTTTTTAAATAATTTTTAAATAGAATTTAAGGTCAGCGTTTGATCTCATTTCTCTTTTCCATTAAATATTGTATAAATTGACAAGCGAGAAAAAGCAATATTTAGAATTTTTTCAATATATATGTAATTCCAAATTTAAATAAAAATAAAAACGAAAATAATTTTATAATTATATTTATAATATTGAACATTTCAATCAATTTCTTTAATGAAATAATACTAATGAGAGATTTCTCATATAATATTATATCTTTTCTTATTTGTGTGCCAATCTTTCTTTACATTTTTATAACCTTTATTTTATCTATATTTATCTCAACTTTATTGAAATACTTAAAATAAAGTGGAATGAGTTAAATATTTTGCCATGAGGAAAGAATCTGTTAATCAGCTGAGCGATAAAAATGAATATCTCCTAAATTATGAAACTAACAGATGACAGACTAGTACACGTGTATTGCAGTTATAAATATGAATGTGCGAATTCTACGTGATACCATTGATCAAGTTTAATTGCCTATAAATTCAAATCCATGTTTTTATGTTATGATTTGATTATTTATTAGGATTCTAATAAAAAAATCTCCAGAATATATTACTGAAGTATTATATGCATCATAAAATAATAAACGATTATAACAAATTAATGATAAGATTACATTATGTTTTTACACATCTATCGCTTTATACGTCTCAAAAAATGATTAATAGACTTTCGGATAAAGAGATAGACATTAGTCATTGACAATCCGATGTTATAACCGCGCAATATATAATTATAGAAGCGACAGTTTATAATTCAATATTTCATTTTGTGTAAACAAGAATTCGCAAAATTAAACAACGATTGAATCATGTTGACACGTCAAATTTGTTGTTTGGTGTCTCAACGAGCCATCGTAGTAAATGGCATACATACTATATGCGCGTGTAAAGAGAGAAAGAGAAAAAGGAAGAGAATGAGACTATTCATCTCATCCTTTCGTAAACAGGTAGAATGTATAATATCAGTCGACCGTAAGAAATTTAATATTTGTCGTTGCTTTGCATTCGCTCAAAAATAAGCAAATTGTCTTTCGACGCGATCAAACATGGCGCCAACTGTGTAAATTCTCTCGATGTAACTATTTAACTGATTTATTAATGGATAAATCATCAAGGTTCCCTTGTTTTTTTTGTCGAATGCAAAATTCGATGTTATAACTTCCAAAATTATAAAAGAATGTTTTTCATATTATCTAGATAAGAGTATTGATACCTAATTACTTTCACGAATTTCCCAATAATATTTGTTCTTATAATAATCTAAGAATCATTAATCTATGTATGACGATAACAAAAGTAAGGATCACTTCTGTTATCGCGGGAGTGGAAATGGTAATAAATAAGAGAGTGAAGTTGTGTCGGGAGTAGTAGAATAAATCCACGAGTGTCCCAACGGCGAAGATCATCGCTAATCCACGATACAGCGATCTCTCTTGTTCGTATAAGCCCCCACGATAATTTATTCAGCGGGCAAAACTACGCGATTACGTTTCTATTAGGATATAGGCATCGACGGCGTCCTCGAGGGTGCTGTAACCGCCGTCCCAAGTGGCTCCTACGGGAATTTCACTTATCGTTAGCACCGACCGTGTTGTCCCCGTGCTCGTTTCCCCCTTTTTTTCCGAGTCCTCTCAAACGTGTGACCGTCGTCGTCGCTGCCGCCGGTGACAGTGTTAAAAAAACATTTCCCGGCGTTTCCGAAGGGAATAAATAACCCTCCGTGCCGTCGAAAGGCCGTCCTGCAGTCCGCCTCGTAATTTTCGGGCCAACAACGGGTCACTGACTCCCGTAATCAACGCGTCCACTGCGTTTGATCGTATGTATCCTAGCTGTATCGCAGTAAATCTATCTATCTACAATCTACGTTGTACCGGAATTGTCGGATCGACCTCTCAGTCATAAATCCCGCGGCGAGTATGAAGTCAAGTTGTTCCGTGAGGAATTTTTTATTTTTTCAAACATCTGAGAATGTAAAGAAATCGTTTCGAAATTTCTCGTATTACCGTGTCGAGTAAAAATTATTCGTTTTAATTTCATATAAATTATTGAATTCAGTTAACGTCGCAGTTCAACGTCGCAACGTTGAAT